ATTGTGGCTGACCCTTTCACCTGGATACCTTTTAGCTGAACCGGACAGATGAGACCTCCATAGCTGGTTGGATCCCACCAGCTTATCGGTTGGTGAAAGAGGGTTCTCCCTTAGACGGCTATGCTTCTCCCTTAGACGGCTATGCTTGGGGATTCTTGGGCATCGGACCTGGAGCCAGGGCTGTAGGGAGGATGAGAATTAGGCAAGACAGAGTGGGAAAGACAGTAGGATCCACCCCAACTGATCGATTACAACCTCAAAGCAAGATCCAGTTCGGCATACTCCAAGGCTCTCCATAGACCTCAGCAAATATTTCTGTCAAGGGCTGTCTAGGTTAAGCGTTGTCAATGTTAATTAATAATGAGGGTGCCTTCTGCAAGACAGTTTCGCTAAGGCAGAACACTCCACTGTCTCGTACCTACCGCGATTATACCCCACCTCCTTCCATTGGGGAACTCGAGGTGAAACACATGGGTCTCCTGACTAGGCTCTGACCACTGTGCTGTTTCAGAAAGGTAGCTGCACCCTGTACCTTCCTATTACATGTTGATTTTATTTTCTTTATACTTCATTTATAATCTACCTGTCTTGCCGAGACTCAAGGCAGATTACAAAACAGAAGAATCAATTCAAACGGTATCCTGGGAATTGTGCGCGGCCACAATATTTTGCGGAAACACCGGAACGACTACTATGTGGTCATTAAAGGAACTGCCTTGATCGTTAGGGCACCGGCACTATAACTCAGATGCGCTACTTTAGCCAATTCTCCTTCATTTGGGAATCTGCACACTGTTGTTGTCGCTCCAACTCTATGGGAGAACAAAGTGTCACGCCTGCAAAAAAAAAAAGGATATACGAATGTTTTCTTAGAATGCATCAAACGCACATCCAACAGCAGGTGCCGCTGACCCACCCAGGACTGCTCCTAATGGGACGGGCGTCCAGCCGAGTTTGTCCCACCCCCAATCTGGAATGTGAAGGGAATGCACAGCAAACATGCATCCCTGAAAGCAACACGGTATAAACTAACAAATAAGATGCATATTTGGATGTTATCTGCTTTATGCATACAACTGTCAATCCTGCGGTCCATAATCCAGGGCCCGAAAGACAGGTACTCCTTACCTAGACTGAGGGGCAAAACTTTGGGGGGTCACTATGGCAAACTGAGAGCCAGTGTGATGTAGCGGCCAGGGTGTCGTAGAATTTGGGAGACCCATGTTCAAATCCCTGCCTTGCCATGGACGCTCACCAGGTGACCTTGGGCCAGTCACGCGTTCTCAGACTAAGCTACCTCATAGGGTTGTTGTGAGGACAAAATGGAAGAGAGGAGAAGAGGGCAAGCCTATTTGGATCCCCGTTAGGGGAAACGGTGGGAGGTAAAATGAAATAAATAAAATCCAAGCTTGCAGCCTCAGTAGGCTCAGCAGAGAAGGGGACAAAAATAGCTGGAGGGATGCTAGACGAGATTATTTCCTGCCCCACACAATCTTTTGCAAACCAGGGCTGCTGCTGGCCTAACACCCCACTTGCTTTTCAGACCATGTTAACATGTGGCTTTGCAAACGTTCATTTGCTCTTCTGGTTACTTGCATGCAGTTTAAAAATAAATAAATAAACCCAAGGACTCTAAAGCGTCTATCAGTTAATGTGAAGAAATTCAAAATACAGGAGTCTTGTTGGCCTGAAACCCTCCATTTGAAAAAAGCAGAAAAACTGATTGGGTTATTCAGCGACAGGTACCCCCCCTTGCCGTGCGTGCACACAGCTACGATGCTTTGCAGCCAGCCTGTTGGCATAAAGAAATCCCAGCTTCGTGCAGGAAATGTGAGAAGAGGGAGCTAAATATCAAAGCAAGATAAATAATAAATGTGATTTTCCTTTACTGCCAGAATGCGTCTAATCTCAAAGTGCTTCGATAGTATGGGGTGGGGAGAGGGAGATAATGCTAGGGCATTACCACGCCCTGCTCCAGAAGACCTAATGCAAGGGGACCGGAACTCTGCACTTGCTCCGAGGCACTTTTTGCTGTTCTAGGGCTGAACTTGGGCACTGCAAACAAAATGCAGGGTTCAGCCCAAGCACAAATTAAGTCTTAAATTCTCAAAATAGTAATGCACTCTGATCAAAGTATCAGACTGTGCTAGTAAGCTCAAGACTGCTGAACTGCAACTGATAATGAAGCTCAGGACAATGCATTTACCTGGGCTGAATCAAGACCTAGGTTTCCTGTCTCATTACCGATGCTGATTTCTCCACACCTACTACCCCTCTACATATCAATACCTAATCCAATCACGCCTGCTATTGTCATTCAGCTGCTATTGTCATTCGGCATCTGAAATCACTCCACTCTCCAAGGTATAAGGACTCCCATTCTAGCTGCATCTGAAGAAGTGAACCATGACTCACAAAAGGTTCTGCCCTGCCACAAATTTTGTTATTCTTAAAGGTGCTACTGGACTCTTGCTCTTTTCTTCTGCTACAGACAAACACGGCTACTCATCTTGTCCTAGCAAGAGTATGACAGCTAGTTTCAAAGTAACAGCTGGCTCCTAACCTGAACACTTCCACCTACCCTAAAATCCTACTGTCTTAGCTACTTGGGGTTGCCTGCCCTCAAAGTTTGGGTGGGCACCTTCTCTACCTTTTAAATCTCTCCTCAAAATCCATCTTCTTGGGAAAGCCTGGTCGATTCCCTTAGTCCTCATGTACAACAAATGAAACTAATACCTGTGCATGTAAACTGGATTTGGACTATGGTTGCCAACTCTGGGTTGGGAAATGCCAGGAGACTTGGGGTTGGAGCCTGGGGAGGATAAGAGTTTGGGGAGAGGAGAAGACCATGGGAGAAGTGTCAGTAACACACTCACGAGATCCACATTTATAATGAGTTTGGGGAGCTGCCATTCGTCAAACTGCAATGCAACTGACTTGGGGGAAGGGAATTTACCTCTGAACTTGATGAAACATCAGTTTCCCAAACATGTCCTTCTGCTGCCCAATGCTCACTGCAACTGTATCGATTCCCTCCAGTGGAGAATCACAGTTTTTGGTTTTCACCAGAAGTTCAAGTTGTGCGTTCCACCACCACCCCCCCAGAAGTTCAAGTTGTGCGTTCCACCACCCCTTTTCATTTAGTCCTTTTTTTCTCTATGATCTACTCAGGAGTAACTATGTCATATGTGGCTTCTTAGCTCAAAAAGCTATTTCATTGTGTAAGAAGTACTATAAGGACATACAAGCAATCCCAAAAGGCCTGGATAGAACCCCAGGGTTGGAGGATGGTTATACCCCATCTACTCATACTTGTAAAGCAGGGGTGTCAAACATAAGGCCCGGGGGCTGGAAGCGGTCCATCCAGGGCTCTTACCCAGCCCGCAAGCAACTGGTACGGATGGAGGTGTAAAGTACTCCCTCTTTTATGGTATCTCTTAGAAAAAACAACATCTTGAATATGATAGGGCTTTTGTGGGTTCCCCAGTAAATCAATTGCTTTCACTGCTAGGAATAAATTGCTTTTGTTTGTATTTTGCGTAAAAAATATTATTAAATGTGTTTGCCTATGTACTTTATAAAGTTTGTATCTCCGGTATCTGGCATTACATTTTATGGTGCACATGGCCCGGCCAGATAAAGTGACATTTCTGTCAGATCCGGCCCTCATAACAAATGAATTTGACACCTCTGTTGTAAAGGTCAGTAAGTCTCAGAGAACAATATGGCTGTATTAAAGCAGAAAGGTAAAGGTTTCCCTTGCTCGAAAGCCAGTTGAATCCGACTCCAGGGTTGCGGTGCTCATCTCCGTTTCCAAGCCAAAGAGCCGACGCTGTCCGAAGACATTTCCATGGTCATGTGGCCGGCATGATTAGACGCCGAGGCACACAGAATGCTGTTACCTTCCCACCGAAGCGGTACCTATTTATCTACTTGCAATTTCTTGCTTTTGAACTGCTAGGCTGGCCAGAGCTGGAACTAGAAACGGGAGCTCACTCCGTCTTGCGGCACTCGGATCTTGAACTGCCAAACTACCGACCTTCCAGCCTGCAGTTCAGCAGTACAGTGGAACCTGAACATCTGAAGTTGGCTTGTCAAAACGTCCGTCCATCTAGCTCAGTGTTTTCTCCTTCAACTGTCAGCAGTTCTCCCAGGGTCTCAAGCAGAGAAGTGTCTTTCCCTGCTGCCTGAGATCCTTTAGCTGGAGAAACCAAGATGAATTTGAGATCTTCAGTATACAGGGCTGATACTCTTCCACCAAACCACAGCTCCTTCCTGTTCCACATCAAGATGTGGAGGGATCCAGTGACTCAGCAGACCAGGGGGGGGGAAATTGGAAAGAGCCCTATCAAGGACTATTACCCATGCTTCCCATTGCCAATGGTGAGATCACCACTGTCCAGAGAGGCGGCAAGCCAGCTGAGAGACATGGGGAAAGCAGACAGCAGAGGAGGAGGTAGTGCCTCCAGGCCCTGCTTGTAGAGGCATCTGACCAGCTAGTGTTAGAAATAGTATGCTAGCAGGTTCAGTCTGAGCCTGCCAGACAGTTCTACTATTTTTGTGGTATGATGACAGGGGTGTGTCATGAGACAAGGCAACCCCAACAAATGGGAGAAAATGCAAGCCAAAAAGATGACACTAAAGGAGCAATCGCATGCAATGGCTACCAGCAGACCCTGGAGCAAAAGTTACCTCCCCCCCCCCCCCCCCAAACCAACAGCTCTCTCCAGCACAGCAGCCTGTAGACAAGCCAGGCAAAGCCCAGGGGTGCCACGCATGCGCGCTATGTCCACGAGTAGCTCACTATCTGGCAGGCGCGCCGCCGTTCAACTACGCATGCGCATCACTCAGCCTCCCGCACCACCCATCAATGGCTCACTTTCTGGCAGCTCCCACCCGAGCCCTCAGGACCACCCTGAAGTCAATCTCGGCTCAGAAGCCTGCCTAAAACGGACAGGCGAGGACCAGGCCCGAACAACACCAAAAAATGGACGCTTTACCTGCTGGATACTCGACGTGAGTGAGAGACACCGACTTCCAAGGAACGGAGAGCGAGCACTCTCCGACTGCGGCCATCTTACCCGGATACCGGGCCGGGACACCGCAGCCAATCGGATTACACACACGGGGCGGGGCGGCCAATGGGCGTGGGCGACGGAATCGACTGAGCCAGTCAGGAAGCTCGGCAGGTGAGGCGAACGCCAATCAGCAAGTAGACCAAGACCCAACCCCTTTCGAAGTCAAAGAGCCAATCAGAAACACTTCCACAAGTCCGATCCATGCCAGGGCCCAGGTAGATGACAGAGCCAATAGCACTAAAGGCGAGGGGCGTGCCGGACCTTTTAATTGGTGGATAGAGGAAGCCAATCATGAAGTTGCATTGATCTCCCCCTCCGCCCTGGACCAATCAGATCTTAAAGAGTGGGTGGCGGGCTAAAGAGCGGCTTGGTTGAGAGAGATGCATTGTGGGTATTGTGAGCCAAAAATTGTTGCTGACCCGTTTTCTCTCAGAGCGAGAGGAAAGGAGTGGTGCTTGAGAGGTGTCGGCGTTAATTATAAATCCGAGGACAGGCCTATTCGACAGAAGAAGAAACTGGACATCCTTACCCAGCCGTTTTCCAGGTTAATGTATTTTATACATACACGATGTACACACACGCTTATGGATAGGTCCCCGTTTTGTTTGCCAGTAAGCTTCCAAGGAAAGTGACAGGAAAATTAAAATGCAAATAAAGATAAAATATAAATAAAACACACACACTCACTATAAAAGGCGGTGTTGTGATTATCTTATCAATACATAACTAGAGCAATACCACAAGTGGTATTGTAATTATATACATGAACAAAGATGTAATTAGAATCAAGCACTTTTATACTATTTGGAAGGGCTTGATTGTTTCAGTTTATAGCCGCCATATCCACCAATACTTCCGTTTTTTGCTTAAACCAAATCGCATCATTAAAAAAAGAACACAGAAATAAAATCCAAGTGGGATTTGGCACAACAAATTGAAGATGTGTAATATAAAATTGACTAAACCCAACATTTTAGGAAAGACTCCTGTGTTGTCATGAATGTTCCTTCCTCCCACGGTCCATAGATATTTCCTGGTTCTCCTTTCACTACTCCACTTTTTAGTCACAGTGTATTAAGATCCTATGTGTGTGTAGTGCCATAAAGTTGTTTCTAACTTATGGTGACCCTGTTAATTAACGGGAGCTGCGGTAGCTCAGAGGTTAAGATGCTGAGCTGCAGACCGGAAGGTCTGTAGTTTGGCAGTTCGAGACCCTAGTGCTACATGATGGAGTGAGCTCAGTCTCTGGTCCCAGCTCCTGCCAACCTAGCAGTTCAAAAGCAAGAAATTGCAAGTAGATAAATAGGTACCGCTTCTGTGGGAAGGTAACAGTGTTCCATGCGCCTTGGCCACATGACCACAGAGAAGTCTTTGGACAGTGCTGGCTCTTCGGCTTGGAAACGGAGATGAACACTGCCCCCTAGAGTCGGATTCGACTAGCTTTTGAGCAAGGGAAACCTTTACCTTTTTATTAATTAATGGCCTCCAAAATGTCCTGTTGTTAACAGCTTTGCTCAGGTCTTGCAAACGAATGGCCATGACTGCCTTGATTAAGTCAGTCTAACTCATGTTGGACTGCTTCCCTCAACTTTCCATCTCCCCTCAACTTGTTCTAGCATTTATTATTGCCTTTTCCAGTGACTCTTGACTTCTCAAAATGTCACTAAAGTACGATCGCCTCAGTTTATATGTTAGATTAAAATGTATTTACCTCTGTTATAGAGTAGTTAGAAGACGTATATACTACATCTGTGACTTGCCCACAATGGCTCATAAATAAAACAGTACAATAAACCATAAAACAGCATAAACATGCAATAACAAACCATAGAAACAGTCCATGGGATTGGAACCACTGTTGCATTTCCTGGGATAGAGGTTGTTTCACCTAGAGTACAACTTTCTTACCCACCCGACACTGCAACTCAAACTGTCCCTGAGTGCAGTATTTTAGGATGCAGCAGGAAGAGGGAGGTGAAAAAGTCCAGCATGGTGAGTAAAACTTCTTCCAAATGTGTAAAAGCTCCAATGGATCCAAGCCATGAAAACAAACTGAAGGAAAACACACAAAAAATCCTGTGATAAGAACATTATTAAGAGGATTTATATAATTTGTTAGACTTTATAAAATTGCAAAAGTTTTTCTCAACATCCTTATTTGTACAATATTGTAAATAACAAGTCCAATATAGTCCAAAATGATAAGTACCCGGTATGAACTTATTTCAACTTTTACAGTCTTCCTCAGATGTAAGTCTATATTGTAAGGAGAGGTCAGCTTCTTAATCCAGCTCAGTATTGTAATAGCCTTCATAATATCCTGGAATAAACCAAGTAAATGAAAATTCATATGCAGTTGCATGAAAAAGTTATTCATATTGTAATGATTTAATACTTAGTAAACTTACTTCTGGATCCAACAAGTGTCTATACATGGAGCAAGCCAATAAATTCAAAAACAGCCTCCTGGATTTTGTTGGCTATGCTCTCCTAAGCACTATTAATTACAGTAGTAGCAACCAGTCCTTATTTCACCCGGCTAAAAGCCTTCATTTGGTGGCTGGCAAATGCTCTCTACATTAATCCAGATTTTATAAAAATTCTACTAGTTAATTCCATGCAGCTGCATGATGAGCTTCACAGTCTTAAAGTAACATAACCTTATAACAAGCTCAACCTCTGTAATATTCACTATTACATTGTTACATAAATATTTATTTATCCATTATGTGTACATATATGTCTTATTTTATCCCCAAATAGAACAGTATAAAGCAAAAGGGGTCACAGGTATCCAATAGGAAAACACACAAAAAATCCTGTGATAAGAACATTATTAAGAGGATTTATATAATTTGTTAGACTTACAATATAGACTTACATCTGAGGAAGACTGTAAAAGTTGAAAATAAGTTCATACCGGGTACTTATCATGTTGGACTATATTGGACTTGTTATTTACAATATTGTACAAATAAGGATGTTGAGAAAAACTTTTGCAATTTTATAAAGTCTAACAAATTATATAAATCCTCTTAATAATGTTCTTATCAGAGGATTTTTTGTATGTATTCCTATTGGATACCTGTGACCCCTTTTGCTTTATAATGAAAACAAACTGAGGCATAAAAACAGCTATCTATATATCTAATAGCGAAAGGTGCCCCCTGCGTGCGGATATC